TAGTCGAAAAACAAAAAATTCACACATAGGATTCTCAATTTTAACTATATAGGGTTTCAATTTAAAAACCCAAAAATTGAAATTATCAATATTAGACCAGGAACCCTAATTTTGAAACAAGCCCTAATTTTAGATTTTCAATCCCTAATTCAAGATTATCAAATCTTGATTTCAAGTCCATAATTCAGATCTTATAACTTAATACGCCTACGCTTTGATACCACATGTCAAAGATTTTTTTGATGAAAAATGAAATTCTCTCACAAAGATGAACTATCATTTCATTTATATAGGCTAGGGTCATTTTATAATTACATGTTCTTCATGGTTGCCACATGTGAAGGCTCATTTATACAATGTCCCTTGAATAATCATTATTATTGAAAAACCCATGTAAACTACACTAGGTTACACTAATGACCCGCAATATTAATTTAAAACCCTTTAACTCTTAAAGGTTACTCTTTAACCCATATAATTCATCCTAACACTTTAAGATATTATAATTAATCCAATTAATTATGATTCAACCATTTTAACCCTTTAAAATGTCTTGAACAATTTCCTTGTAAAAGTTTACATAGAAATTCCATTATTACCCTTGGAAGGTGCTAGCTCTCTTCAGATAATCATTTCTCTCTCAACCTTCTTTAACTCCACAAGGCTATTGGTGTGACCAGGTAGGTCCACCGTGGATTAGCCGTGAGCCGGTTCTGGATGAATCCGGAAACCTGTCCGGAGGCCCAACGACTATGATAAACATCTAGTAATGTGCCATAGCCCCTAAACCACGATGAAGGAATAGCTCCATCAAACCCTTTTTCAGATCATATGTACCATGTAGGTAAAGTCCCTTCATTGATATATCCTGATCGAGTATGGATTCATGGAACGTCAAAATCCTAAACTAGATCTTCTACCGAATCGTCGATCAACATGTTCGGAACTTGTCATCACGAACTTACTTTTGTGTGACTAATAACATACTTTGGCTAGAGGTTTTGGTTTTTGACATTTATCGACGTTCGTCTAGGAATTCGTATCCAGATGGAGTCAGCGGTATTCATATTCATATATATCCAAGTCAATGGATCCCGTCTAGACCATTGTTCGTTTCTGCATATGAACAACGTATGACCAAATAAGCTTTATCATATGAAACATTGTTAGTGAATGCCTAGGAACCAATCGTGTCGTCGATTCCAAGGTATTATGTTTTGTGTATATGTGTGTGTGTGTGTGTGTGTGTTAATGTATATATTTTGTATATACATTTTTATCTAATCAATAGAAGAAAGTGTTCTTATTTCACATGTGGTATATTGCTTCATTTATCTATATGTATTACATGTGAAATGTCCGGATGATACAAATCTTTAGAAGATCAAAATCATCAAAGTATTCCCTACATAGGTAATATTAATTGGGCAATAATATTACATAGTAGGTATGCTGAATGCCTCCGTAGAATATCATGTGATGGTATTAGTGTGGGCGATTATAAAAGTTATATCACTAGGGCATTAGCATGAATAAGCAATTAGTGAACTGTTTATCGAATATGACCATTTATGATGAATCACATGGACATGTAAAATGTAGTCAATGATGCATCATAAGATCGTACTAGTGTATTATTAATCCTTATACCTGAGATATCACGGTTGGATTTTGTATAAACGCATATGGTTCATATGGTGTATAAACACGAGGCTAATCATGTCATGTGTTAATAAGTCGATTTGGCCATGTGTTGTTTATGTGTGAGGACAAGTGATAGACAAGATGGGATCCGTTGACTTGGTATAGATTGATATCAAGTTCCTAGACAAATGTCAAGATATATTGGAAAAGGGAAATCTCCGGCCGGGGTATATAAAATGTTACTTGAAAGGTTGTTTCATGGTGACACGTTTCATATTTATTGATTGTCAATTTGATATAAAATTAAGATAAAGATTTTGACATACCATGAATTCATTCTTAATTGGGATTAGACAACAGAATGATTTGATTATATAGCGCGTATGATTATAAAAGGGTTCGTTGGAGTATATCTTCATTGTGGCTTAGGGGTTATAGAGCATTATTAGATGCCTACCATAATCGGTGGGAGTTTTGTTCATAAAGAATTATGACAAAACATAACGAAATAGATTGTAATATTGGGCCCACGGCTAGGCTACAGTGAACTTAAGAGGTCACACATAAAAACTAAGAAGAATTAAGAAATAGCCAAAGAGAGTTGATTATCCAAGGTTGGCTAGCACCTACCAAGGGTAATAAAGTTATTTATATTATTATCATTGAATTAGATTCAATGGAGGGTTATGTTAGTTCTTATGTATAATTTAAGAGTTAAGTTGCTAATTGGAATTAAATGGGATTCCAATTCATAATTAATCATTTTCTTTATATTAAACTGAATTTAACAATGGGTTGTAATTGTAAACATATGAACAATTTAAGGTTTAAATTGTTATGTAAACAATTTAAGAGTTAAATTGTTAATTGTGATTAAATGTTAATCCAATGTTATTATTTAAAGAAGTTTAATAATTTCATAATAATTATGGAATTATTTACAACTCCAAAATAATTATTGAATTGTTTACAGGGCTACATACAGAAAATGATATATCAATTTTGAGATAGAAATCAAAATTGCTAAGAACCCTAAATGTCTCTCTTAGCCTAATTCTTCTTTTACCTTAGTGTGGATACTCTTTTGTTTAATTTCTCTTGAAATTAAAAGTCTCCAAGGTTGCTAAGGACTTAAGGTAACAAGTTATACCTTACTTGTTTTCAATTTGATTGAATTTTTTTGCAAAATAAGAATATACTTATACACCATATGAACCATACACATGCATCATTCTACATGCATTCCATCTTTCAAACATGAGTAGTCTCATACTTATACACCATATGAACTATACGCATTTGTATCGGATCTGACCACGATGTCTCAGGTTAAAGGACTACATCGTGCATTGATATAACCAAATGATAAATTATTGACTACATGCTTTTCTAAGTGATTTGTCGTTATTTGGTCACATTCGAAAAATAATTCACCAACTGCTAATCCATACTAATGCCCCAGTGACATGACTATCATTGTCATCCATACTTATATCAATTCATGATATCTTTCGAAAGCATCTAACATGCCTACTATGCAATATAGTTGCCCAAATAATATTGCTTCCATAGGGAACCTATTTGATAAATTCATTTACCAATTAAATGAATCATCTAGACAATTCATATACATATTTTATTTAAATGCATGACTGAATAAAGGAAGCAATTTATATATATGAATGGAAGAACTCTTTCTTCTATTATTTATGATATATTGATACAAGACAAAATGCTCTGAAACTGACAACACAAATGGTTTCTAGGGCGTACAATAACAAACACTAACACAAACCGGATTGATTGGGTTAGACCGGTTTTGACTAGTTAGACCAATTTTGACCGATTTAGGGTTTCATACTTTGCGGGTTTCCAGGTTGGGAATACCAGGCTTTGACTCGTGATTTAGAAAGGCTATTGCCATCGTGATTCCGTCGGTGGCTAAAAACAACCTAGTTCTGTGCTCTAATTGTTGGGATAATGTGTTTTGTTCAATGGGCGTGAGCACACGGCTCACACTGCGACAGTGAAAGCGCCATTTGCCACTGCCTAGAGTTGCGCCGCAAACGCAACAAAGAAAGAATCAGTTGATCAGCGGCAATCAAGGACTATTTTAGTCGAAAAACAAAAAATTCACACATAGGATTCTCAATTTTAACTATATAGGGTTTCAATTTAAAAACCCAAAAATTGAAATTATCAATATTAGACCAGGAACCCTAATTTTGAAACAAGCCCTAATTTTAGATTTTCAATCCCTAATTCAAGATTATCAAATCTTGATTTCAATTCCATAATTCAGATCTTATAACTTAGTACGCCTACGCTTTGATACCACATGTCAAAGATTTTCATAATGAATTCTCAATCAATAATGAACAATCAACAAACCACAAAATTCAATCTCAATCTCAATTCCCAAAATTCAATGTATAGATTATAAAATACTGATTTCATAGTCAAGGATTATAGAAAAACTTGTTTGTGCTGTGATTCCCGAATTCTTGAAATCCTGATAGAAGCGACATGTCCTTCTTTCCAGTAAAGCATCGAATGATGACTCAAAATGGGGATCATTTGTTCTCTTACCTTTGGAAAAGGACCTAACAAATTTAATAACAATTTATTGGGCCTTTTTATTAAAGGCACAATAAACTCTAAAGCGTATTACAGGTCGAAGCCTATACTTGTTGTCAACTCAAATTATTCAATAATGAAGTGTATTGAGCAATCTTGAAATATCATATGTAGCCCATCAAGATATCTCATTGGACTACATGTTTACCTAATTTGATTAAATCAAAATATAATTAATGTTAGCCATAGTTAGAAAATTTTCTAGCACAACGACCTTGAAATGCGTTGGTTTTTTTCAGTTGTGGGAAAAGGGAGGAGAGGAAGGAAAGAGAAAGAGACAAAGAAAAAGGAGAAGAATGAAGGCAATGGACAAGGAAAGAGGAAGTGAACAGGGAAAGAAATAGGAGAAAAAAAAGAGAGGAAATATTTAGTGTGTATGTAAAAAATGCCCTTCGTTAGATTAAGGAATATCAAAAGTACTTTTTTATCTGTCAAACTTAATGACCAAATTTAATGGATAGGGTAAACCTCCTTTTTTCGAAAATTGCAGATGGTTTCAACTAAATCGTCATACATATAAAGGTTTAATACATATATCCCTTTTTTATTTTAATATAAGAAGACTACAGTTTAATGAGAAGCAACAATGGTACTCTAATACTAATAATAGGGACCATAGTGTTATTCTAACATTCTACTGGACTCAGCAAAAATAATATTTCCACAACCCACATATATTAATGGGCCGAATGCATATATCTTCAAAGTGCCAACAGCTGAAGAAGATAAGATAAATTACATCGTGAGAGAGAAATGGCAGAAACCATCCATTTTATGTCAGCAAGGCATATAAATCAAGTTTTCAAACAATGGCCAACGAAATCACCGAAGCTTCAGACATCCAAAATCTGCCCAGCTGCTTTCAAGAAAAACGACTTCTCACTGGTATTACTTACTTAACTCTTATCAAATTCGTTATTTTTTGAACTTATGCATATAGAGCAATTTGTTTTGCTGACAGATTACGAAAAAGAGTAGCAAGAGTCCGCGGCGTTTGATCACAATATCAACATCGGATGGAAGATGGCATACAAATTGGAGTACTGAGTACCTTGTATCTCTGCAGGATTTGCAATTGGAAGATCTGGTTGAAGATGAACACAAGGATGCAAATGTTTCCATCAACCTCACCATCCAAAAGGTCATTTCTCCTTTTTTCTTTCATACAAATCAATTAAAATTATGTCATAGCTGATAGCAAATTCATCTAAGTTTAACATTTATTATTAAGACAATTCGGTTAACTGACGCAATTTTTGTCGTATCAATATTTTAGTTTAGTTTATGGTTCTGCGACTAATAATGATTGTAGAGTCAAGAGTAGCACTCCTCCATTTTAAGTCTGTTGTATTAAAAAGAAAAAAAAAAAAAATAGTAAACATCTAGTTTTGTTAATTATTTAACAAAGATTTAGAGCAAGTGTTGGAAGCTAAGATCTGTCTGTATTCTGTCGATTTAATTGTTCCATGCACTCATGCAACATATTTGTAATTGTAGATGCATCACCTCATTCAGGCCAATTCTAAGTAATATTAATTATCCTTTTTATTTCTTAGATGTTTTCTTGACGTACGAAATGGGTTATATTTTTCTCATTCATTATGAGACTCTAAAACTGATCATATATATATATATATATATATATATATTAATCATTAATTTATTGATATCTTCTTCTTCTTCTTCTTCTTCTTCTTCTTCGGTCTTCTTCTTCCAGCATGCCAGCTTTGGCTTCTCAGTAGATGGAAGGATCATCTCTTCCTTCACTCGAAAATGTAGTAACTGTTCTTCCCCATATTGCAGAGAGGTACGCATTTTTTAACTAAAAAATACGTTTTACCTCTTGGCTATTCTTATCATATATAGAAATATTTTTTTTCTTTAAATTTTATCTGTTTTTAAATGGGGTAGCTAGTGAGCAATATGCAACTAAGATTATGAATTTTGTCAAGACTAATGGTTGCTTGGTTCAATTATTGTTCATGTAACAGATAGATACAAGCTTTAACGTTTGGGTTTTACTATCAAGTAGAGACAACAAGCGCAACAATAATATTCAGCTGCCTGAAATTGGTGGCGATGATCCATCATTAAGTCTCCAAACTATCTCTCATTTATTTTTAGAATCTCCGTTCACGCTTTTTCTTTTTGTTTTAACAATATTATAGGTGATAATTGTGCAGGTTATCTACGTTAAACCAGGATATCAAGCTGAACTCGATTCACTGGTACAGGACACCATCCGCCTTACCACCACAGTTAAGGTGAAGACCTCGATCAAACTTTCCCAGTGCTATGAAATAATTCTAGTTCTTATGCTTACTAATTAGCTTTTCTGTGTTGCTTCAGGATACTTGTTCAGAGTCATGTGAAAAATCTGATCCTAAAATTCAATGTGAGCACATGCTTTTGATCTCAATTTTATAATGTACCAACCATTATTATTAGATTTATATATATATAGTCACTAAAATACTTTTGTTTGCAGATATTGGTGCACAAAATACTGCTTCCGTTGATAAAAGATGGGGAAGACTTTTGGAGTTAAGGAATGCGTATCTTTAGATTGAATTTAATAATAAATGTCATTGGTGTGCACGTTTCATGGAATTGCTTAGTATTATGGTGTGAGTTGAGTTGAGTTACTTATTGTATAATCCTCTGTATATATATAGTTTTCTTTTCTTTTTTTATTCTACTGTCTCCCAGAATTGTAAATTACTAATGATATTAATATAAAATGAACTGATTCATGCCATTGCTAGGAGTCGATCTTTTGTTAAAATCTTTTTAAAGAAACAAGAAATATTTGTCTTAATGATAATTGATAAACCAGTACTACTCATATAAAGCTAGCATATTGGATCATTACTTATTTGACCTTTGAACCATCTATATATCTATATAATTTTGAAGCTCACCCTTCCTATTGATCGTCACGTGGATTTCATGTATGATGTCACATAGAATTTTAGGAATTTTATATAGTAAAACCTCTCTATAGTGATACTCTATATAAGAATAAATTCTACATAGTCATAAAAAAATTTTATTCCCAATTTGGGATAGTTATAAATAAGAATAAACTCCACATTGTAATAAGTTATAATTTTTTTTAATTCCCGCCTTAAGAAAAGTTGCCTCTATATAGTAATAATTATCTGTATATTGAAAAAAAAAAGTATGATACCTTACATTAAATGTTTAAGATAAAATAAAATATTTATCTAAAGTTGTTTGGAAGAATAATTTATGTTTTAGAGTTGTTATCATATCTTTTAACTTGTGGGTACATTACCTACTAGCATGAACATCTTCTTATTGAAACCAAAATATTTCTAGCTTCTCAAACATGTTTAGAGCTTATTAGCACAAAAATTTTTGTATTTCCCTACTGTCATTCTCATGATTATTTCATTTCTCTTATTGTCTAATTGTGTTAGTAAAGGGGTGAAAGTGTAATCTGTTAATATTGGTGGTTATTATTGTTAGATGGTTATGTTTCTGTTAGACATTTGTTAAGTTGTAACAGGGTCAGTTAGAGATTAGTTTTACTCATGTAAACACACTATAAAGGTGTACAGTGCAGCAAAAAGAAATTAAGAAAAAAAAACAAAGAAGTATTTCAGCTTTACTCTTTCACTCGTGTTTACTTCATTCTCTCTCTGTTTTCTTTACTCTTTTTACTCAAAGATTCACATGGTATCAGAGCCATCGACTAGTGTCAAAAATGGTTGATCTGACAAATCCTTCGCTTAATTCAGCTAATTCAGCTTACAAAGTACCCACTGGTTCAATTGACTGCGCAAACTCCTTGTCAATGTCTTACTCTGCACTTCCAGTAATTTCCCCCAAATTAACTAGGGACAATTACAGATTTTGGAAATCCCAAGTCTTGTTCGCAGTTGGATCTCACGATTTGGAAGAACACCTCACAGGATTAGTCTCATGCCCAACTCCGTTCGTCAAGATTCAAGCTGAAAACTTGGAGGGAGCCATGGAGAAAAGAACTAATCCGAAGTACAGCCAGTGGAAGAAAACCGATAAACTACTTGTAAGCTGGCTTCTTAGCTCAATCTCTGAATCTATGTTTAATGTGGTATCAAAATGTCAATTTTCTGCTGATATGTGGATTACCTTAGAAAAAGAGTTTCTTACTGAGTCAAGAACCAAACTCTGCATGTTAAGAATCTGTTAAAAAATACTAAAAAGGACAACCTAAATATTCATGAGTATTTCGCTAGAATGAAAGGATATGCAGAGGTCTTATCTGGTAGTGGAATTGTTGTCACTGATGAGGAGCTTTTGAACTATATTCTTGAAGGATTAAATTCTGAATATGATCCTGCCGTAGTGAATATAACTACCAGACTAGAATCCCACTTAGATCCGTTAACAATTCAGGAAGCACAAATCATTCTGCAGAAATATGAATTTAGGTTAGAGAAAGCAAATTTAGCTATGAGTGCTGTTATCAACACTGAGTTTAATGGAGGGTCAGTGCATCTAGCGAATGTATCTACAAATGAACCTGATAAAAGGTATCAGAATGAATCACAGCCTAAGTTTAATTTTGGAAGACAAACTAGCTCTGAGCAGTCTAGCTTTGGACAGTCTCAAATTCCCAGTCCAGCCTTTCAAACACATAGCTTCCCACCTCAACCATACATATCTCCACAGTTCATTCCCAACCTTAACCACCCCATTAACCCAAATCACCCTATCAACTCATCAAGTTTTAACCCATCTTACTATCCACAATTTGGTGGTGGCCGAGGTAGAGGCAGAGGTTTCGAAAGAAATAGGCTGGTGTGTCAAGTCTGTGGAAAAACTGGCCACTTAGCATTAAACTGTTATCACCGATTTGATGCTAACTTTACTGGAATAAGTAATATGCCAAGCAGAAGCCATTTTCCTAAGAATTATCTCAGATCACTAGAGAATTTTCAGCCACAACAGTCACAATTTTATCCTTCACATGTTCCTTACAATCCCAGTACCCCCAATCCTGTGAGTTCACAGCCTGACTTCTCCAACTATTCAAGTGCTAATTTAGCTGGATTTCTAAACAGCTCTCAATCAGCTCCAGTGCAGACTCAATCACCTAAGCACAATCCTCAGAATCAAGCTTTCTTGTCTCAAACACATGTACCTCCTGCTTCTAATCCAGTAGCACATTACACTGCCACTCCAGCCATAGTTCAAGATGTCTCATGGTACATGGATTCTGGAGCAATAGACCATGTGACCTCTGATGTATCTCAACTCACACTGAACTCAAACTACACTGGCAATGAGCAGCTTCAGGTTGGAAATGGTGAGCTTCTTCCTATCTCTCACACTGGTTTACTTCCTTTTCATGTCAGTCTAGATCTCTTTATTTGAAAAATGTATTATGTATGCCTTCTATTACAAAAAATCTATTAAGTATTTCTAAATTCACAAGAGATAATAATGTCATTGTTGAATTTTTTTGCTGATCATTGTGTGGTTAAGGACAAGCACTCCAAAGCTATTCTTCTTCAAGGAAAGCTTAAAGCTGGTCTATATCAACTCCAAACTTCCTCTTCAAATTCAAATTTGTCTCCTGGTCAGCCTTCTTCTTCATCTTCAGCTTTCAACACAACAGCCAAGACTTCAAGCTCATTACAACCTGAGCAACATTTACCATCTATAGATTCACAGTCATGTCAAAATAATACTGCTAGTTCTTTGTATGATGTCAAACATTCTATTGATTCAATTCTTGTTAATACTAGTTCAGTGTCTGTTAATTCTAGTTCAGCTCTATCTAGTCAATCCAATCTTGTATCTGCTTGTAATGATGCTACTAATACTAATAAAGACAACGTTTTTCAATCATTTCCGGTAGAAAAAAACCAATTGTTGTGGCATAAACAATTAGGACACCCCAATGCTACTGTCCTTACTAAAGTCATGAATTCCTTGAATCTTAATAGCTTAGTTCAAGGCTCTTTAGAATTCTGCACAGCCTGCCAGTTTGGAAAACTTCACCAATCTACATTTCCTAAATCAGCTTCTAGAGCTTCTCAACCTTTAGAGTTGGTTCATTCAGACCTTTGGGGACCAGCATCCATTTCCTCTCCTGAAGGTTTTAAATATTACATCCAATTTCTGGATGATTATAGTAGATTTACCTGGATTTTCCCTTTAAAAACCAAGTCTGAAACAAATCTAGTTTTTCAACAGTTTCATAAACTTGTAGAGAGACAGTTCAATAAGCCCTTGAAAAGTGTTCAAACAGATTGGGGAGGTGAGTTTAGGAGTCTAACATCTTACTTTTCTAGTCATGGAATTGTTGTAAGACATCCTTGTCTTTATACACATCAGCAAAATGGTAGGGTTGAGCGCAAACATAGGCAAATAGTTGAGCAGGGGTTGACCTTACTAGCTCAAGCCAGCATGCCCTTAAAATATTGGTGGCATGCCTTCCAAACAACAACCTTTCTCACAAATAGATTACCCACCCCTGTGTTGTCTAATTCCTGCCATTTTCAAGTTTTATTCAAACGAAATTCAGATTATTCAGTCATAAAAATTTTTGGTTGTGCAGTCTATCCGTTTATTCGACCCTACAACTCTCATAAGTTTGCATTTCATACAACACAATGCACCTTTATTGGCTTTAGTATGCATTACAAGGGATACAAGTGTATGGATTCAAATGGTAAGATTTATGTCTGTCTAAGTGCTACATTTGATGAATCTACATTCCCTTTTGCTCAAAATACCTTTTTACCATCGTAGAAAAGCTTTTCTTTGTTATCACCAACATGTCCTTCCTATACCTCTTCTCCTGCCTTTATTTTTCCCACACCTTTGCCTGCATGTGATCAGCAAAATTCGATTGTGTCATCATTCTGCCCTTTACCAATAAATGCTAAGTCTGTTTCTACTGACACTAAAAAATTTTAATTTAATTTTTTTAATTTATTTTGTCCAACCCAGCGGGTTGAAAATCCCTAACCCAGCAGGTTGGACGAGTTTTGAAAAAAACAAAATAACCTGCTAGGTCGTCGGGTTGGCCTATGAAGGCCTAGCCTGCCTAGTGCGGTATACCTGAGTTGAGGCAGGTCTGTTTAAGGTTGACCCACCTAACTCAGCCCATTTGTTCCACCTCTAAATATAACCATACTTGGGTCAGGTGGTCATAGCTCCACTAGTGAGTTCACTAGCTAAATTCCCTAAATCCTCAGCAGGGACAATCAAATCATCAACCATTTCAACAACAGGCGAATTCAAATGAGTCCTAATTACATTAGGAGTGAATTCTATCCAAGTTCCCCTAACACATATTTCATTTTTCTTAAAATTCAGTTCGTCCAGGTCTTTCCTAAAATTGGAATAAAATTCTTGGACAAAACCTTGGCATGGAGTGACAGGATGAACAACAGTTCCTTCTCATTTTCTCTTAGACATAAAATGGGCCATTTCAGGAAAATCAAACAACTCAACATGAGATTCACAAGCTATAGACCTAAAAAGAATGTTATTTCTAAACCTAGATTCAACAATGGGAGAGCTAAAAGTTTTGCATATAGCCATGCCCTCAAATTGAGGAGAAACTTTTGCTTTCTTCTTGCCTTTTGATGCTTTCGATAGAGGCTATTTGCCCTTTGATTTTGAATGAGATGCCTTTGTTTGCTTCAATCGCTTGATTGGTTGTTTGTCAAAGGATGACGT